ACACCGCCCCATTATATCGCGGGTCACGGATAACTCACCGTTCCATTATATCGCGGACACGGCTACCACCTCAACGTTCCATTAAATCGCGGACACGTATATTGGCCACCATGTTAATTCCACACAATGGGAATTAACAAATGCAACATGATATGTAAGTATGTAACACTCAGCATACTATGAACATCATTCAACATATCATGCACATCAACAATATCAAACATAACAGGATATGAATAGTATGTAACCACTCAGCATACTATTTAAACATCAATCATATCAAGTTACAAATAGCATGTAATCACTCAGCATACTATTCAAACATCAACCAATCACATCAATTATATCATAACTCATGCTCGAGAACATATCTAAAAGCATGGCAATAAAAATCCAACATCAAAACACTGAAATCAAAATTCAGAAAATTCAGAAATTCAACACAGTAGCATCAACACGGGTGCCCGTGTTAAACAACACGGCCGTGTTGAAATATGCCCAGAAAACGCATTTTTTTAACAAAACAGGGGATCAACACGGGTGCCCGTGTTAAACAACACGGCCCGTGTTGAATTGTGTCTGGAAAACACAATTTTTGGCAACACAGTGCATCAACACGGGTGCCCGTGTTAAACAACACGGCCGTGTTGATGAGCGCGGGTCAGATTTTTCTGAACCTGCAGTGGCTCACAACAGCCGTCCAAACGCGGAAAAATGTCGGCCAAAACGCGTATTTCAGTACCTAACGCATCGAGCTTGTACAATCCACAACAATACCACAATATCCAATTTACTAATAATCATTATAATAACCTTAACCGGGGATTAACCGTAACTTTGGGGAATTCTACCGACACTGAGGTCGTCCCTACAATTTCCAAGGTAAATTCACGATCATTAGACATACGCCCAATTCACCATTTGGGACCTAAATTCTTAATCGATTCATGAGAATTGGGAATCCTAATCCTTTTCTAACAAAGTTCAGTCCTACGGTTATCGATCCCTAGAAACATCTAACAATTGGGATTTTCCTACCATTACCCGAATCAACCGTACATAAACCCATAAACAAAGGTAAATCGAGTATAAACCCCCCTTACCTTATCAATTAGCAGCTTTGAATTCTTGAGCGAAGTTCTCCGTTCTTCGTTCCTCGTACCTTCAGAGCTCTATTTCCCCAATTCTAACTTCTGTTTATCGTGAAAACCAAAATGAGGAATAACTTGAGTTCCAACACATAACTTTACTTCTTTTTCACCCCTACTCTTTACTAACAGCATCTAAGCCCAAAACATAAAAATCCCTATATTTCTTATTTCTTCGAATATTCCAAATAAATAATTCTTTTTATTTTATTAATTCTAATAAAATAAATTCCCAAATTTAAATAATTCAATTAATTGAAAACGGGGTGTTACAGCTACTCCTGTTGTTAGTCCCGCTATTATCCCTGCTACCGAGTCGGCCGAGACTCGGAGCAAAGAGGTATTGGTTGAGCCTGTCCGGATAAAGGCACATCCAGAAGCCATTCCTGAGGATTCTAAAAAGGAGATGGAAGAGATATTGAAGGTTATAAAGAAGAGTGACTACAATGTGGTTGAACAACTGGGGAAGACCCCCTCCAAAATCTCAATGTTGGCCCTGTTACTGTGCTCTGAAGCCCATGCCAAGGCTTTAGTGAAATTCCTCAAGACTGCTCACGTGCCTCAAGAAACCTCCGCTGATTAATTTGAAGATTGTGTGGCCAGTTTGAATGCTGACAATGGGCTAGGTTTCTCTAATGCTGATCTGACTCCTAGAGGAAGGAAGCATAATGATGCCCTGTACGTCTCTATCGAGTGCAGGGGCACTATGTTGGCCCATGTTCTAGTGGATACAGGTTCATCAGTGAATGTTCTGCCCAAGAAGGCCCTTGATAGGTTAGATTGTGAAGGATTGACCCTGAGGCCTAGTAACATTATGGTGAGAGCCTTCGACGGTTCTAAAACAATGGTGCATGAGGAGGTGGACATTCCTATCAAAGTGGGTACTCAAACTTTTAATTCCACTTTCTATGTGATGGACATCCTTCCATATTACTCTTGTTTATTGGGTTGACCCTGGATCCATGGGGTTGGCGCTGTGACTTCCACCCTACATCAGATGCTGAAGTACCTAGTCAATGGGAAGATCATCACTGTTCATGGGGAGGAGGAATACATGGTGAGCCACCTGAACTCTTTCAAGTACGTTGAAATGGACGGCGAGTTCATTGAGACCCCCTGTCAGAAATTTGAGGAGGTTCCACAGACCATTGCTGCAACCAAAACCTCTGCCAGTGTTCCAAAGACTACTAGGCCTCCACTAAAGTGGCTTCTCTGAAAGATGTAAGGGCAGTTGTTGAAGAAGGTGGGTGTACAACTTGAGGCCAACTTCCAGATATTCTCTACAAATCTGACAAATTTGGTTTAGGTTTTACATCAGGAGCTCAAAGGGTTGTTCGCCGTGCTCGTGCCGGAGGACCACCCCTACGTATTAACAATCATGGGGTTAATGCTTTGGAGGACAGTGACAATGGCTATGACATGCACCAGTGGATCTTCCCAACTGCCAATGGAGTACTCACCAACTGGAAGACTAAAGACTTTGTGCCGATTACTTTTATTTAGGAGTAATTGTCCTTTTTTGTTTTTGGATATGTAATAAATGAATAATACAAACTATAAGACCTTGTGTCTTACCCTAGGCGCAATGATTTATTTGTGAGGGTTATCATGTTTCATTTTCATATGTCATTAATAAAGCATTGGACGTTTTTACATATAAATTTTGCGCTCTCTGCCTTTCTTTTCTGCTTTTTACTTTATCAAAACAGCTATGCTTTTACACACACTCACATATCAAACTGAAAATCCACATCCACTCTGGATCCCATTGATAACGGTTCTGCTATTGCTCATTATGACTTTGAAAATCTGATCTACCAAGCCGAGGACGAAGGTGAGGAAGATTATGAGGTACCGGGAGAGCTTTCCATACTGTTACAGCAGGAAGAAAGGGCAATACATCCTCATGAGGAGCCAGTTGAGACAGTGAACTTGGGTACTGAAAAGGATAGAAAAGAAGTCAAGGTAGGTGCTAACTTGGGGGCCAGTGTCAAACAGCGGTTAATACAGATGCCACATGATTATGTTGAGGTTTTTTCCTGGTCATATGAAGACATGCCAGGACTTGACATCTATATTATGGTTCATTGCCTACCTACAAAAGAGGATTGCCCTCCAGTGAAACAGAAGGTTCGTCGTATGCGGTCGGTAACATCCGAAAAAATCAAGGCTGAAGTCATGAAACAGTTCAATGCCGGTTTCTTAGCTGTCACGTCCTATCCATAATGGGTTGCTAATGTTGTTCCAGTGCCTAAGAAGGATGGCAAGGTACGTATGTATGTGGATTACAGAGACCTGAATAGGGCAATCCTCAAGGATGACTTTCCGCTTCCCCACATTGATGTTCTGGTTGACAACACCACACAACATAAGGTATTCTCCTTCATGGATGGTTTCTCCGAGTATAATCAGATCAAGATGGAACCTAAAGACATGGATAAGACAACCTTCGTCACACAGTGGGACACTTTCTGTTACAAGGTTATGCCATTTTGGTTGAAGAACGTCGGGGCAACCTATCAACGGGCCATGGTAGCTTTATTTCATGATATAATCCATCACGAGATAGAGGTCTACGTGGATGATATGATAGCTAGGTCTCAGACTGAAGAGGAACACCTTGATCACCTGCAGAAGCTATTTGACAGGCTGAATAAATACAAACTGAGGCTGAATCTGAATAAGTGCACCTTTGGGGTAAGATCTGGTAAGCTTCTGGGTTTCATTGTCATGGACAAAGGTATTCAAGTGGAACCTGCAAAGGTTAAGGCCATACAAGAGATGCCGGCTCCTCGCACTGAGAAGGAAGTTAGAGGTTTCTTGGGATGTTTAAACTACATTGTCAAGTTCATTTCCCATCTGACTGTTACTTGTGAGCCAATCTTCAAATTACTGAAGAAAGATTAAGCAGTGAAGTGGAATGAAGATTTCCATAATGCCTTTGACATATTAAAGGAATACCTACAAGAGCCTCCAATTTTGATGCCTCCAGTTGAAGGAAGACCTTTGATAATGTACTTAACAGTATAAGATAATTCACTGGTGTGTGTGTTGGGGAAGCATGACGATTCTGGTCGAAAAGAGCATGCAATATACTACCTTAGCAAAAAGTTTACCGACTGTGAAATAAGATACTCACTGCTCGAGAAAACTTGCTGTGCTTTGGCATGGGCTGCTCACTGACTAAGACAGTATATGTTGACTCACACTACTTTGTTAATATCTAAAATGGATCATATCAAGTACATCTTCGAGAAGCCTGCTCTCTCCGGAAGAATAGCAAGATGGCAAATGATCCTGACCGAATACGATATTCAATATACAACCCAGAAAGCAATTAAGGGAAGTGTACTAGCTGATCATTTGGCTCATCAGGCTGTGGATGACTACCAATCCATGAATTTATAGTTCCCGGGTGAGAACATCATGTTAGTAACTGATTATGAAGAACCTGGACCGGATAAAGGACCTGAAAAAGGATCTCGATGGACTATGGTTTTTGATGGGGCTTCCATCGCTCTTGGCAATGGCATCGACATTATAATCGTATCTCCTGAAGGTTGTCATACTCCTTTCACAGCCAGGCTATGTTTCAATTGTACCAACAATATGGCTGAGTATGAAGCATGTATCATGGGTCTCAAAGCTGCAATCAATTTAAGGATCAAGTTCTTAAGCGTGTTTGGAGACTCGGCCTTGGTAATCAGCTAGATCAAAGGAGAATGGGACACGAAGCATCCTAATCTCATCCCTTACAAAGAGTATGTGTTGAAACTAATCCCATACTTTGAAGAAATTACTTTTGAGCATTTTCCACGAGAGGAAAATCAACTAGAGGACGCGCTAGCTACTATGTCATCCATGTTCAAGGTCAGGTGGGATAATGAAGCTCCTCAGATCACTATTGAAAGGATGGATGAGCCAGCATACTGTCACGAGTTTGGTATTGAAGATGTAGTGGACAAACCTTGGTTCCATGAAGTCAAAAGATATCTCAAAGCCCAAGAATATCATGAGGGAGCTTCAGTCAATGATAAGAAGTTCCTAAGAAGGTTCTCTGCTAAGTTCTTCCTCAGTAACAGGATCCTCTACAAGCGCAACCACGACTCTACCTTGCTTCGGTGTGTAGACAAGAGTGAGGTAGAAAAGATTATGGCTGATTTACATTAAGGTACCTTTGGCACTCATTCCAGTGGACACTCAATGGCTAAAAATATCCTACGGGAAGGATACTACTAGTCCACCATGGAGGCAGACTATTATCAGCATTCGCGGACTTGTCACAAATGCCAGATCTATGTTGACAAGATACATGTGCCTCCAGTTCCTTTAAATGTTCTTACTGCTCCTTGGCCATTCGCAATGTGGGGCATCGACATGATTGGATAAATCATACCTACGGCTTCTAATAGACATTGCTTCATCCTGGTTTTCGTTTATTACTTCACAAAGTGGGTCGAGGAAGCTTTATTAGCTTCTGTTACCAAGAACTTTGTGGCCCGATTCATCAAACATAACATTATCTATCGATACGGTATTCTAGAAAGAATCATTACAGATAATGGTACCAATCTCAACAACACTATGATTACCGAGCTCTGCATGTAATTCAAAATCTAGCATCATAACTCTTCTCCCTACCGGCCGAAGATGAATGGCGTTGTTGAAGCTGCTAACAAAAATATCAAGAGAATCATACAGAAGATGACAGTGACATATAAAAATTGGCATGAGATGTTACCATTTTCTCTTCATGGTTACTGCACCATAATGCACACATCAACAGGGGAAACTCCTTTCTCTTTGGTATACGGTATGGAAGCTATCCTGCCCATTGAGGTCCATATCCCTTCCTTGAGGATCATGAAAGATGCAGGGTTGAGCGAAGACGAATGAGTTCAGACTTGACTTGACCAATTAAACTTGATTGACGAGAAGAGGCTCGCGGCTGTCTGCCACAGTCAGATGTACCAAAAACGTATGATCAAAGCTTTAAATAAGAAGGTCAGACATCAGGAATATCGGGCCGGTGATCTGGTAATCAAGCTCATTAAACTGCCACAAGGTAATCCCAGAGGCAAATGGACTCCCACATACGAAGGGCCATTTATGATCAAAAACATATTTTTTGGTGGAACCATGATCCTAACCACTATGGAAGGTGACGACTTTCCACACCCGGTAAACACGGACATAGTTAAAAGATACTACGCATAAACAAAGACCCGCTAGGTCAACTGACCTTGGCAAAAATTAGGGCATTCCGACGAACTAAAAGGGTTCGGGAAAAAATTAGAGATATACATAAAAAAAATATGTACATCCGGCAAGTCGAAAACCTGAAAAGACGGCTTGGGAAAAAAAGGGTATCCCGGTGGACTGAAAACCTAAAAGGGTGGTCCAGGCAAAATTTAGGGATTTAAAGCGTATAACTATGTCCCGTTGGATCACCTTACAACCAATCTTCAATATCAACTATCAAGCTCAAGAGGTACTAATCAATCCAATCAGCTTCGGACAAGCAACAAAAATGATGAGATGCTCAAGGACATAAAGGCAATAGCAGAATGGGGACCCAATGGGATTACTTCACATAGTTGTCTTTCTTTGTACACTATTTTGTATAATTTCCATTCTTACAATGACATTATCTTACTAGGATGTATGTCTCCTTGTACAAAAACGCTTATTTCAAGTTAATACAAAACTTATTCCTTTGAAAGTTGCAAACTTCTGTTTTTATTTCCTGTTTTGTGTGCGAAAACGTCCAGTGATTATTTTTGAACATATGCATTTGAATATGATTACTACTTACAAATATACACGCATAAAAACAGAAAGACGATTGCTAATGATTTTAAGAAACGGGACAATATCTAAAGGCCATCCACAAGATCCCCGCAGATGTCTTCCCCGACAGATACCTTCTCCAACAGGTACATAGGCAGGGGAATTCTACTACAAGGTCACTGCCATATTCTCAGCATGTAGCCTAATGGTGTCGGGTTCTCATATCCCTGGTAGAGCAAAAATCTCCAATTACTCCTCCAAAAGTCCCTAGTGAAGTCGCCAAGCTTCTCAAGATTCCCTAATAGGATTTCAACAAAATCCCCAAGCAGTTTATGGAGTTCACGTTCCGCAACAGAGTTTTATAAATCTCAAGTAGTTTATAAAGCCTTATCCCCGGTAGAGTTTACTTCTCTATCTACGGAAGGTCATCCCCCAGCAGAGTTTATTTCTCCAAATTGGTGAAATCTTCCAACATAACTCTTCTCCTCGGCAAAATCATTCTCAAACAGAAGTCGAAGATCCTCGGCAGAGAAAGGGAATCGCCAACAAAACTATCTCCATTCACTATCCCTGGCGGAAATTGAAGAATCACTTTCTTCACTCACCAACAACAGTCAGGGATTCAGCTTCCCGGTACTCTTCAGCAGCTGTCAGGGATTTATCTCCTCAGACAAAGATATTGCGCAACAGCATTACATGTTCATACATCATGGCATACGCATAAAAATACATATATCACTATCTCATTCATTTTGGGATCATCATGCAATTCATACATCATGACATTGCATGAAATTAATTTTACCTTTTCAGGTTAAATTAGCAAACAGACGAATACTATAAACTTTTACAGCAGGTCAAAGATTAATGCCTGAAACCATACGGGGAAACTATCTGCACGACCAAGTGGTATGAACTCCTGAAACAAGACGGCTTTACCAATAAATACAGCAGGCCACTGATTAATTCCCGAAACCAGACGCGGAAACCATATAGGTGACCGGAAAAACAAGTTCCAGATTAACACCTGTAACAAGCCAGGAAAACTATCTGTGGACGATCGACTATTTATTAATACCTGTAACAAGCTAGGAGATCTATCTACCTGAAGAGATTGAAGATTAATACCTGTAATAAGATAGGAAAACTATCTTTCTTTCTCAGGTCAGAGGTTAATACCTGTAACAAGCCAGGATAAATATCTCAGCGACCGACAATTTTCAAGTTCCAGATTAATACCTGTAACAAGCCAGGAAAACTATCTTTCTTTCTCAGGTAAGAGATTAATACCTATAACAAGCCAGGACAACTATCTCAGCGACCGACAATTTTCAAGCTCCAGATTAACACCTGTAACAAGCCAGGAGAACGATCTATGGACGACCGACTGTGGATTAATACCTTTAACAAGCCAGGAAAACTATCTACATAAAGAGGGTGAAGATTAACACCCAAAACTAGACGAGAAAACAATCTTTATTTCTTGGGTCAGAGATTAATACCTGAAACCATCCAGGACAACTATCTCAACGACCAAAAATTTTCAAACTCCATATTAATACCTGAAACTAGACAGGACAACTATCTATGAACAAGATGATTGTAGATTAACACCTGAAACCAGGCAGGAAAGCTATCTACATGACCAGGAGAAGCAATCTTACATGGGTTCCTTCTCATATATCTCCGGGTGCAGACTAACACGGACTCATCCTGAAACAGCCCTACACTGGCTCTTTCTAATACATTTCTAGATAATGGTTAATTCCATTATCCCCAGCAAATTACTGGAAGCCTGGATTTCAACCAGAATACAACAAATTGTCATCTCTCCAGAGATAACTCTTCAGCAGAGCCTTGGACAACTGAATTTCCTAGACTATATTCCCCCACAGAGTTTTCCTCAAACAGGAGAACAATAGAAACCCATATTCCCCAGCGAACTCCTCCTCAGCCAGCAGGAACAGGAACCCCCAAAGGGACCATATGTGAAATCAGCATCTACTTTGAATGACATCTTTAAGCCTATCTTCGACAACTCTCTGTCATCTTATCCAAATGGCATATGTAAGCCCATTTCCGTCATCATCAACCATCAGTGTTATTTCATGCGAGCGCGAATTTCTAGGCACTCTAGTGTTCAATCATCTTTCACCTTCAGATCACGAAAGGCAGACAAGCCAATCTAAATCCTCAGGTTTAAGAAGATTGAATAGGGGCAGATGTTGTACCCCAAAATTTTCCCTCTCATATTTTTCCATGATTCTTCTCTTACATAGGTGATTACAAACACTTGACTAAATAAAAATAAATTTTTTGAAGATAAACAAGGAGTCTTCGATTGGCATTTTAACAAAGTCTTTCGATTGGCATGCCAAAGGGTCTTTCGATTAGCATCTTGACTTGTTTCGATTGAGCGTCTAACCTCCTCCAAACTTGCCTCAAATTTCTAAGCTTCGATTGAAGCCTTGGCCTTCTGCTTGTTTACTGTATACAAGCTTCGACTAGGCATATGTTTCCTTTGAAACTGCTTCCTTCCATCCAAAAGGGAAGGTCCTCTTATTAGTGCTCCTTCGATTGCACCATTCGCTTTGCATGCTGGTTTGATTCACAAATGCAACGGCTACCTGCATGCAAGCTGGATTACTTCTTTGTTTGGGCATTTAGTCTCTTTGGAGCAAGCTTAATTCTTGCTTTGATTGCGTATTTTTCTTCCTTGGAGCAAGCTTGATTCCCGCTTCGACTAGGCAAATTCTCCCTTTGTGCGTGCCTTCGGCGCACAAAGCAAGAATCCCATGTAAGCTCCCTTCGATCCACCAATAGTGGGTTCCTGCATGCCAGCTTCATTCAGGGAAAAAGGCTTCTTCATGATTTCTTTGGACTAATAATGGCAAAAACTTCTACAGACTGGCCTTCGATCCATATGGCAAAAGGCTACTATTAACTGGCCTTCGATTCACAAAGTTCCCACTGGGCAAAAGACCCATCAGCTTGCCTTGGTTTCACAAGGCAAAGACCCATCAGCATGCCTCCGATTCACAAGGCCAAAAGTCCCTCAATGGTTGTGTTGGAAGCATAAGGCAAAGACTTCTTATGTGCTTGCTCACAATGCTAAGACCCTTCAACGCACAAAGTTTCTGCACTATGACATACCCGAATGCCCTTTCAGGAGGTACACAACTGGCACATTCGAAGGACAGGCACATGTTCCATTCGAAGAACATATATTTTCTCCATTCGAAAGACATGTATTGATGGATTTAAAGGGGAATACGTGGGTGTTCCATTCAAAGGACGTACTTTGTTGGCCCATTTGAAGGAATGACAAGTGATGTATACAAATGATGCATGGGTTCCCTTCAAGAGAGCACACACGTTGG